GTACGTACTACGTACTACGTAGTTGTGTGTGTGTGTGTGTGTGTGTGTGTGTGTGTGTGTGTGTGTGTGTGTGTGTGTGTGTGTGTGTGTGTGTGTGTGTGTGTGTGTGTGTGTGTTTTAACGCAACATGTTTTTTTCCCTGTCTGTAGGCTTTGTCTCAGCTAACTGAGGCCAGTGACAGGGAGAGGGAGCTGCTCCAGCAAACTGCCACCTTCCAGGAGCAGCTGAGCATCCTCAGGGCAGACCTGGAGCGTTCACAGGCCAACAGCAGTCTCAAAGAGAGTCACCTTTTGGAGGAGAATGAACACCTCAAAGAGCAGCTGGAAGATGCTCGTCGAGATCTTAAACTCAACAGTGAAGCCCTGACCCAAACTGTGTTCAACTGCAATAACCAGCTGACCGCCTTGAAGTCTGAGTTTGCTATGACGTCAAACCGTCTGGAAAACGAGCGACAGACTCGCGAAACGCTGGACGCAGAAGTCGATTCCACTCGTGTCCGCCTGGCTGGAGCCGTAAAGGAGGCGGAGCTTTGCCTGTCAGCTCACACAGAGACAGAGAGAGCTCTGCTCCGGGAGAGAGAGGAACACCAGCGCCTTAAGGACAGACTCACAGGTTGGTAGAGGTAGAAACTGATGGATAGCTCCAAGACAAGTTGGGCTTTATTTTAGACTAATTTCATGCTTGGAGACATGACATTTATTTATCAAACAGGAACTGCAGCTTGAAAAAGCAGTTAGTAATCTAAACAGCTCCTTATTTTTAATACACCTGCTTATTTCCTTTATCTAGATTTGTTTTTAAGAAAGATCAAGTAAAAGGGCTCACTTTAGGACAGGGTTGTCAAACTCAACTTCATCGAGGGCCACATCAGCATTAAGGTTGCACTCAAAGGGCCGGTTGTAACTTTAAGACTATATAAAAATACATATATAAATATTTAATATGTATAAAATAATGTATTATTTTACATTATTGCCTCTGCATTGGATTATTATCGGATAGGGGAATAACTTCATAATTAACTACGTCTGAAAGCAGAAGTCTGGGGCAAATAATTGCAACTCTCTTCAGTGCGCATGTCACAATGATTTAAAAAGAAAAGCCACATTCTAAGAAAAAAGTCACATTTTGAAGAAAAAAATGTCAAATTCTGAGAAAAAGGCATATTTGAGATGCATTGTGGGACATGTAGTTTATGGGCAACGTGCTTCTGTAAATCCGCATGTAACCGTATAATAAACATATTATATTCTTTGCAAGCTCTTGTGGGGCCGCATGAAGTTAAGTCAAGGGCCGGATTTGGCCCCCGGGCCTTGAGTTTGACACCTCTGCTTTAGGAGTTGCCCCATCACCACTGACTGCATACAAAACTCAAATCATTATAAAACATATAATCATTGTCAACCATTTTAGTGGATCTGGTTGCCTCTGTTGGCTGAATATTTCCTTCACACAAACAGTATCACTCTTAATGGGTAGATGTTGGACGAGTTGCTCAGTCTGGGCCCGAACTGATATTTGCTGTGTTTTTTATTGTGTAGGACTTTTGTTATTTGCATGTTGTTGTCCTGCTATCCTTTGACTTCAATGGGAGATGTTCTTTTAACTTACTAGCCTTTCACATCAACAGGTGAAGTAGCCAATCAACGTGAGTCAGTCAGCAGCCTTTCCCAGAAGCTGTCCAAGGCAGAGACTCGCGCAAACAGCCTGGAGAATGAAGTTCACCGAGCCACACTGCAGCTGACGGAGAAAAGCCTCCTGCTGGACGTCCTGCAGCGGGAGAAGGACCAGGAGGCTGCCCGGGTGAAGGATCTAGAAGCCGCCCTGCAGGTGAAGGAGGAGCAGGTGAACCGCGCCGGAGCACGGCAAGAGGCCGCACAGGAGCGGCTAGCCCAAACCCAGAGTGAGAGCATGTTACTACGGCAGCAGCTAGAGGAGTCCCAAAACAAAGGCGTTGCAAAGGAGCGCGCGGTGACAGACGCCCAAGATCGCTTCAGTGACCTCCTGTCCCAGCTGCGCTCCGACAGCGAGGAGAGGGTACAACTAGTGGAGGAGAGAAGCAAGGAGCTCGCCAGTAAGGCTGCTGAATTCCGAGAACAGCTCTACAAGAATGAGGAACTGAGGAGCGAAAGAGAGGTAAGATCCGGACCTCTTCCACCAGGTTCATAGTAAGTCTTTTCCCCGAATGCCGGTCTTTATCTCTAATCTGCTTTCTTTGGATTCTGTCTGAGCGCAGACTACCTTAAGGCATCTGCAGCAGGAGCTGGCTGACTCACTCAAGAAGCTGTCAATGAGTGAGGCTACTCTGGAGGTCAACACACGCTATCGCAATGACCTGGAGGAGGAGAAGGCTCGACTCTTTAAAGACTTGGAAAGGCTCAGAGGAAAGGTAACAGCAGGGAACAGTGCCACCTTGTGGTGTCATATCATCACCATGTCTCTGTGTGGTCATGATTATGAAGCTGATTGGATGGCTCACTGTCACCATTTGAGGTAAACTGACATTTAGGTCCACAGTTAACATTTCTGCTTTGTCTCTGTCTTGTAGCTGGAGGAAAGCGAAGACCAGTATGTTCAGGCTGAGAGACGCATTAACAGTCTGAAGAGCAGTCTGGATGAGAGGGAAAAGGAGCTCTCCACCGCTGTTCAGAAACACCAGGAGGCGCTGTTAGCCTCGGCAGCTTCTGATACCACCATCAAACAGCTGGAGGAAGCTATGCAAAGGTATGTACACTACACACACACACACACACACGCGCACACACACACACACGCACACACACACACACACGCACACGCACTCACTCACACACACACGCACACGCACACTCACACACACACACACACACACACACACACACACACACTCTCTCTCTCTCTCTCTCACACGCACACGCACACGCACACGCACTCACTCGCTCACTCACTCACACACACACACACACTCTCTCTCTCTCTCTCTCTCTCTCTCACACACACACACACACACACACACACACACACACACACACACACACACACACACACACACACACACACACACACACACACACACACACACACACAGGAGTG